ATTAGTTGTTAATAACTAATAAGTCTATGATTACTATCATGCGATTCTGCGATAATATTCTAAGACCACGATTACGACCATAGACAAGAATATCTACTAACGATCGTAGTACCTACTCACTATCATAGTATCATAGATGGTCTTGAAGTATCTCCATTCTACAAGTCCAAGGAGTATCAATCTCAGATCGTATTATTATACTAGGTATATTATTATGGATAGGCCACAGAAACACGTATTATATTGACCCTAGATGAGTATGATATAATATTATTAACGATTATTATAAAGGACTCATAATCAGCTCGCAATAATTCTATACAATCGTGCATTCCACATCGGACTACCTATCAGTTGTAGCATATAGGTATAACCCGGAAAATGGAAAATGCCTCAGCACCGGCACATTGCCCGATCGGTTCCAAATTAGTATCAAAGTTAGCAGCAAGTTGTTTTTTTTTAATTCCGTTATTACCTAGTATTTCTAGGTTAATATACCTAACCTAACCTACCTAACAAACATAATTTCAATTATTTCATAACTCTTTTATGAATTTAAATGTGAAACCAATTATTAAAATATAAATCAAGTTTTCTAAATTCAAATTGAAAATTATAATTGTATAGTTTCAATTTTATTTTCAATATTACAGACAGTGCACATATTTTTTTAAAATTATAAATCTCAATTTAAAAGGAAACTGATACAAAAAGCTAATCAATGTACAAAAACAATTGAATTTTGTTTTTATATGATGAGTTATGTCAGTTATGACTATTCTGTTCAAAATGTATATATACATGCGCACTTACCTCATTCGCAGTGAGTGTGCTTCTGTGGTACTTGTGGTTTGCATTTTCCTCTCTGGTTGGTTTTTGATATTCGATATCACAGCTATAATATATGTATTTTGATTTATATGATTTTTTTCGGAGGATCGAATGCCTAACTCTTTTTTGAAGCGATTTATTTTGTTTATTGTAATTGTGACTATTATCGTGCGCTCTTAAAAGTCCCTACATCCGTAATGATAATTTCATAGAAATGTATGATAATTATAACTGAATGCAGCACTTAAACCACCTTACATTCATAGTGAACTTACACAGTCACCCTACCAACCGAATGTAATTTAAGTTACTGAGTTAGTACGATTATACTGCAGACCTGATACAGCTATCAAAAGATCCCTCGGCACTTCTTTTGAATGACACTGTTAATGAGTCGATTTTGTATACTCATATATCTAATACGTATATATGTAAATATATATTGAGCTACTCAATACACGGCCCGACCATTATGATCAATTTTATCTGTTTTTAAATGTTTAATAGTGCAAAAGTATTAGGAACAGCATTTATAAAATAATCTATTAACATTTTACAATAGAACAAAATGTATTTTTTACTATATTAAAAATACAATTCAGACGTGTCGTTTCATTAAAAATTTATATTCATACATCTGTAGGTTCTAATCTTTTTTGGAAAAATATTGAAAATCAGCATCAATCATTTGTTTGAACATGTTATCTTTGTTAAAACAATGAACCAAGAAAAAATTTAATCTATCTTTCAAGTACTGCAAACCCTGAAAAAAAATATTTACAGAAATATAATTTAATAATTATATACAGGGGAAATCAAGTACAACATTGGCTATTAAGTCTACACCAGCACTGATAAATAAATTAAAATATGTTTGTCCCTAATATTATAATACTATTTTAATGTTATGTATATAGATATAGGAATTCTGATATAATGACTATACTATACCATAATAGTATCATGGCATAATAATATAACTGTTATTGTTTGCTTATTGCATATAACATCCATAATTTATCAGTAAAGACCGAATTTAATTGATATTGCAACTTTTTTTGTAGTTAAGATAAATCAAATCTGATCAAATATGTACACGATTTGTATTAATTACTGTCTTTCTGTTTAATTTTATATTGCAATTTATTGCAATTTTTAATGTTTTTGCAATTTTTTTCAATTTTGTATATTTCACGTAATCAAATGTACAAATCAATATTTCTTAACTATAATTTTATAATATAAAAATGATAACATTATTGTGGATTTTTATTATTGGTTTGATTAATATGATCTTAGAAGTATAAAGGAGTATTATCTATGTTATTTTAATTTTGAAAAGTTTAAAAACGTGATTAAAGTTTAACAGATGATGCTTTAAGTGTCGAAAAGCTGAAACTGCTTGTACAAGATAATGCAGTCAAATGTGGTTTAGCATTCATAAAATTACACTTATCTGAGTTATGCACGAATCTCAAAAATATAAAAGAATCTAATAGTGAACTACTGAAAAGTATGGATATTTTTAGAAAAATTGAAGATATTTTAACAAATATTCCTGGTCCAGAAGGGGAAAAAATTAAGAAAAAATGTATGTATGTAATTGAAAAAAAAGAAGGGTATAAAACTTTAAAGTGTTACTATGAAGTCATGTCAGGTAAAGCAAATGTTAATTTAGATTAATAAAGATGATTAATTAGATGATAAATTATCAGTAATGTAGGTAATAATTAAGATAATGCAGTTAATGTAACAATTTTTTTTCTATCCAAGTTTAAGTTAGTCAATTTTTAAACGTTTAATGAACTAACCAAAAGTGTTTAGTGTTATAAAAAACCACAGTACTTATTTAAATTAAATAAGGTGAAAAAATGTTGACATTGTGCAATTTCTAAATATTCATATGATGCATAAACGTACAAATTTTTAATGAAATAAATGTTGATGTATTTAAAATGGTAGATTATAATATATTTTCAAAGCTAGTTTCTTTTTAGTATGACACATTTTCCTGGTTAATAGAAAGTCATTATAACCAATTTGCATTGTACTCTATATATATAAGTTAAGACTTATTGTTGTGATTATAATTTGAGATGTAAGTATTCATGCATTACAATTTTTAAGAACCTGAATATAGTTGACTGCATTAGTGTTCATACCTGGTAAATAACATATCTTGTACAAGACAAGTGATTTTAATAATTCTCGTAAATACTGGCTAACACTATCAGCCATGGTTTTTAAACCTTCAGAAACACGAGACACAATAACTTGTACACGCATGCTGAATCATCAATTTTGTTGTTCTTTCCAATTTAATTATTTATGTGCTATTATAATACGAGTTGCGTGTTTTGACTTGTTTTAATTTTTACACTGTACAAACAGCAATTGTGTGCACTACACCACTACGTAAACGATTTTCTGCTAACAAGAAAGTACGGGAAAAACGGTTTGATTTTTTAAGAGCTTGATTTTTTACAACTTGTTTAGATGTAGGTAACATATGCCACCTAGTATTATAATTTATAATACCTAGAGTGAAGACTCTTGAATAATAATATTCTACAGTTATTTACACAGAACTGTGAAATAGTAATAATTGGGCACGACGGCAGATATCGGCCGTTGCAGTCGAGCTCATGCACAGGATATGATAGCGCCATCTAACGTTCCGGCTAGACGCCCTTAGTCTGGCAATCGCTAAGCTTAGCATAGACAATTGCTCCTCTCTCGAGTGTATGTGACTGACCGAGTGTCTAATATATATACTAACTGTCGGTCACCCTATCATCGGAGGTCGTCGTGTGATGGCTATATTTCCACAAGGAAGCTCAATATATGCCTTTAGCACCGTCTGGCCCCATGACCCAAGGCCAGACCTAGCCCCCCCCCACAGCCTCCCCGATTCATCAATACTCGATCCTTCCCACAAAAATGTGATGTGGATCGCCTCTCAAAAATCCTACCAAAATAAGGGTCCACCGACCTCCACAAAATTTTTGCCATTTTATGTAACTATTCTAATTTTCAAATTTTCTCTGATAAATTATTTTTTTTCATTTATTAAAATGAGGCTATACTACGCGTCAGTATTTATTATATATTATTATACTTGTAGAAAAAAGGATTAAAAAATGGTCTGTAAATTTACACTTTTGATATCTTTGTATTTTACAGAAAACTGGTGCAGTATTATAATTCTTAATTTTATAATTTACATTGGATACACATGTAATGATTGATTAAATTATGATAGTGGGTAAATAAATATTTGTAGGCTAAAAAATGTTTTACCCCTCGAGACACGTATTAAGTTTTTTCATCGAAAAACATTATGCAAAAAAGCGGGTTAGTGGATAAAGCTCTGCTGTACATTATAGGTGTCTAGAAAATATCTGTAATGCAGGAGTCGCAACTTTTTCAAATTAGTAGATTATTATAAATTAGGTAAATTAGGAATGTTTAGTCCCTGGTGGTCGACATGACGACATGCGGGAAAATTAAGGTCTTTAGGAAAGATTTGTTTGATGAGCAAAAAAAAGTTCTAAAGTCTATAGCTTCAACAAATAATTATATATTGTTTCTTTATAATAACAATATTCTAATAATCTAAATATCTAATGGTACAGGAGAAAAAGAAGAAAAAAATTGTATGTATAATTGTGATAACTGGTATTGGATATCAAAAAGTTTTGAGAATTCTTTTATATAATTGAGAACAGCTGCTCGTAAGCTTGAATCCAAATTACTGTTTGTAATTCTGACTGATATTCGGTCTTTAAGTATTTCATACTCGAAAATGTTGTCTCACCAATTGTGTAGTTGATTTGAACAAAAAATGCGCGGTAAACCCTCCTAAGACCCCTCCAAATAATTTACGCCTTGTCGTTTGAACATTGAAGCAACGATGTCCGAATAAAACTATACTTCGTAGTCACTGAACATCGCAACGCTGTGACAGTTTAAAAAAAAATTTTTTTTTTTTGGATTTAGGTATAGTTGCAATCGATGCAATCGTAATCGAAGCTAATATTGATATACGCGGGGAAGCCATTCGCGGTGTATTATGTATTATTCGTACTGATCGCTAGCCGCGGTAATGGTGTTATCCCATTATTACAATCACGGTCACATCGGTATCGTTGTTGTCAGTTATCGCTTATCACTCATCAGTTGATAGTACTCGTTACTTGTTGCATATTTTTCACTACACGCTCTTTAGTCTTGTGCTTTTTTACTGCGGACGCTCACGTGTTTCGTCTTTCGGTCAATATTGTTTTCACGAGTTTACCTACACGGGCCGACTGATATTCTTATTTTAATTTAAACATTACTACTGAAAAGTAAGTCATACCCATTTGTGTTGCTCTACTGTAGGTATTATTTTATACTAACTTACTGACTAACTTACCTATATTTGTATTGAGAAGCGAGTAATGACCTTTTTGAAAGTGCACCTTTTGTGTACGTTTGAAAACGATCATAACCTACTTAAAACAATATCTATAAGACCATCCAAGTTGCCCTGCACAATCTTGTGTTCGATTTCTATCTTGGATCAATTCACTCTTATTTTAAAAATGACCGTGTAAAAAGTGATTGTTGTTAACGTACAATTTGATATGTGGTATGTTTGTTAAGATGAAGTCGAGGACGGAGACAACTCATGAAGGTGTGGTATCCTCTTAAATCTTAACACCATTGATTCCCCCAAAAATCAATTTTATTGAATAATGTAGTGATCTGACGACTACAGGTGTTGTTTAGAGGAAAAGGATGAGGTGTATTTCAAATGAACTTGTAAACTGATGATTTGTGGTATAATTTATTGTAATATTCAATTAAACATATGAAATTTAAACTGACAAATTGTTATTCTGTATCAGAATATTTGTCTTAGAGAATTATTCTAAGTGTTCAGCAAATATCGGTTTGACTTGAATAATTTCCAAGTCCAAATAATTCACTGATCGAAATTATTCTAAGTATAATAAATCAAAAGATAGACTGGCGTTGTGAAGGTGCTCTTGCTCATCTGGTCAAAGCACATCTGAATACGGGCTGTTAGGGGCTTTCCTATATAGGCCTACAAAGGTAAGGTACTTCTACTTCTCCTAGCCTTCTCGATACGAGTATCGTTCCTACGGATGCTGTGTCTGCCGGCTATCGTTCTGGGAAGTACTAACGGCCCACACTCCCGATACGACTCTCCTGAGTGCGCATCCTGAGTTGTGTAATATGGGTGGCCAAATATTTACTACACTGTATCCAAGACCATTACTATTACAAGTGCACTAACAAATATATTAATCATATGATTTATTTTGTATTATTATGTTATACCTACTGTCATTGTGACCGTGGGTTTTTTGTATGTTGCCATTATTTATAATATTTCCACGAAACTTTTCTAACTTTATTATTCCACACGCCACCTCCCTCATACATGGTTATTACCTGTACCTAGCCTATAACTTTCCGGCCAGATGGTTGCAGGGGGATGACATGTTAATTATACTCTAACAAAGTCTAACGCGGGACGCCAGTCTGTAGCAATAAGATAAAAATCATCTTATATTTTACTTAAAAAACTTGATTTTTATAATAAGTACATTAGTCTTATGTTAATATAAACTTAAAGTTGTTTTTATAAAATTCTTATTTTGAACCAATATTTATGAATGACTTGGTCCATATTGGTTGGTAGTATTTTTGAAGTGTTCAATTAGGTATGATTGAATGAAATATATATATTTTTTTATAGTTTTCTGTTATCAATACAATATAATTGTAGGACTTTTTCTAAAACTTAAATAGACAAAGTACCTTTTTGGATTTTTCAATAATTTCTGAAATAAGGCTAGGTTTATTATATGATAAATACAAAATATGCAATATACAATTTAGTTTCACTTATTTCTATGTTTTTCGCCTACCTGTAAATAAATCAGTAGGATGTAGATCATTTCAGATTTTCATCAATGTATCTGAATCAACGGTAGATAGGTTATCAAAATCAAAAAGAAATCTAAAACTATTTAAAAAATTAATTTAATTGGGTGAATTATTAAGAATAAATTTCTTTATAAAGCCTTGCATTGTATAATATACATTTTTTTGTTCTATTTTGGCTATTTCTGCTATTTCTCAGATAAATATTGCCTTTACTTATCACAATCTCTTGATATGTTATATTGTTGCCCAAAGGTCTAATTAAAAAACAATAAACAAATTATGTACCTATAGCTATAAGTAATTATTATTGCAAAAAAGAAAACCAATAAGTTATTGAACAATTGTTATTATTACAATTTATTAAATAAAAAATTAATTTACCAAAGTAAAAAATACAAAATATCAACCTGTAAGTTTTTCAATTATCACATATGGAAATATATAAAATAGATGATGGTAATGATTATCGTTTATCTGTAACCATATTTCATCATTGTTAGTATAGTCAGCAAACGTCCAAGTAGGTAATTAGATAATCAAACTCGTACATTATTATGCACACATTTTAATTTTAGAAATAAGAAAACCATTCCCATTACCATTCTATGAAAATGGCTTGATTACAATAATATATAATTTAAAGACCTCAGAGCAACAACAAGATATTTCCATATTTTGGTCAAAATTAGTTTTTGATTGCAAATTATTAAGGAAAAAAACAGCGTTGTTTAGTGCAACAACTAGACAAATCTGCCTGTTAAATGCAGTGATGACATATAAATATAGATGTATTGTTGTTGCCCTTAAAATTGTTAATTGTTTAAGAGTTTTGAATTATTGGATATATATTTTATATATAATTAGACATAGGTAACTTATAAATTTTATTTTTTGGTTTTGAAAATTTTTCACTTTCCTTAATTCATTGCAAATACTGTATTAATTGGAGAATAGATGCTTGTTGTTGATATTCATTTGTTATGTACATTACACTGTGTATAGTATACCATTAACTTTTATTACCATAGTGTATACTGTATATTGTACAAGTACTTCATATTTTATTTAATTAAATTAATAATATAATATTGTAAAATAAAAATTCAAAATAAATTTGTAATTTAATATGTAAATCGTTTTATACTTTTATTTAAAGAAAACTTAAGATTCTTCAAGTGCCCGAGGGCTTGCTGTCCGGTCTTATGACGGCCCTGCATGCATTTGAATTCATGTTAAATTAAAGAACTTGTTTAGGGTATACTTGTTATAATTAAAATGATATGGTCTTAATCAGCTATAACTATTTGTTTCTATTATTATGAAATATATATGTATATAAATCTATACGACTAAAAGAAATTTCAGAGCACTGTTTTCTCTCTTGCCCATGTACGACAGATAAAAAGATTATTTTTTAAAAATGTTTCAAGACATCATCTACTGCAAAAAAAAAAAGAGAATAATTTTTTGGGGATATGTGACATAGATTTTTCTAATTATTGTCTCAAAACAATTTAATATTCGTTTAAATGTACAAAAACTTATTTTTATTTTTAAAGTTGAAACAAAGTCAAATAATAATGAAATATAAAACAGTAGGTAAGCATCTTCTGTAATTTCTGCGACATGTAACTAACTCAAAAACCATAAATAACTTTTTTATGTGACTGCGTTGTATTCATGTACGTGGATCTGAGAAAGAAAACTTATATTGTTCTGATATCCTCTTAAAAAGGTTACATAATTCTTCAGAATAACATAGGATATGTTTTCAAATTGAGTTTAAAGTAAAAAAGCATAAATTTAGTTTCTATTTTTAATAAATTAAAAATATAAATGACAGTAAACTAAAAAGAATTAAGTACCCTAGCTATGTTTTTTTTAGATTTTTTTATTTTTAATCTAGAGAAATTGTACAATCTGTAAAATAATCTTTTACAATAAGAACAAGTGATTTCAGAATTTTAGAAAGGATAAAATAACAAACAATAGATTAATTAAATTAAATATTTGCATCAGTTCAGACAGGGGGCTTGGGTGAAGAGGCCATCCATTGATGGAACTTCTTAACATGTGGGGGTGGGGTTAGTCTAAAAGTAGATCACGACACCATGTTCGTTTTAGGCGCCTTCTGGGGTCACCAGATATGGTGGGGGCAGATAGATCCGAAATCAAGGGGTTATGATGATTGTGGAAGTTGGAGTATATGCGTTTGTAGAAAGTCTTGGCTACGTTGTTTACTGTTTGGATGAAAAGATCTTTGTGGAGAGTATCATTAAAAACGTAGAATGGGGCTTTAGTTATTTGTCGTAGGCATTTGGATTGGAAGGATTGGATTTTAGTAATATTGGAGGGTTTGGCGGCACCCCATAGTTGAATGTCATACGTCCATATTGGTTTACCCTAGCTATGTTAAAATTCAAAACTGTAGGTATTCAATAAAATCTTACATAACCTAGATATTTGATATTTTATTCTAAAAAATAAAAATGTATTAACTTTTATCCTTATGTGTTGTCTCCAACTTACAATCATACAATATTGACGATTTGTTTTTAGCAGAACCAATTTTATGTTATTAGCTTTAATGTTAGTTAAAATTGACCTATTATCAATTTTAAAAGATAGAATATTATCTACTGGATTGCTTAGGGTTAACTGATGTTTTAATTTTAAAGTGAGTTATAACTCTGTAAAAGTCAATAAAAATCTATGATATTCTTCAAAAAATATTCCCTAAATACTCGTATTCTTACATTCAAATTTGATTATAGTTCAAAACTCAAAATTGGTTCGAATGAATGCACATTTGCTATATTTTTGAGATGAAGACCATAAATATAAGTGTGGCGCCCTCTTAGAAATTAATGGGTTTTGATCTATTATAGATAGATTTAAAATGAGTTCAATACATACATTAAATATGTGTTATATTGTAATAAATATTTATCAGTAGGTATTGTATTTTTAATTTAATGAACTAATTCTAAATCATCTACTAAATTTATAATATCTATTATAGTATGTATAATGTTTTGTAAATGCTCTTTTATTTTCAGATAAAATGGAGATCTGTGTTGATAGTATAGAATCGGCTATTAATGCGGTTCATGGCGGAGCTCATAGATTGGAGCTATGCAGTGCATTATGTGAAGGAGGATTAACACCATCAATGGGACTTTTTAAAACCTTAAAAATCTTAAAAATGATGGATACAGTGGATATTTTTATTATGCTTAGACCAAGATGTGGTTATGATTTCCAATTTTCAGATTTAGAAATTAAAGTTATTCTGAAAGATTGTCTTTTATTCAAAAATGCTGGAGCTGATGGATTTGTATTTGGTGCTCTTACTTCAACTGGCGACATTGATATTGATGCTTGTGCCTCAGTAATTTCAACAGCTCAACCACTGCCTGTTACATTCCATCGTGCATTTGACGTGGCTACACAAGATCCAATAGAGATGGCACACAAAATAGCTGATTTGGGTTTTAAACGCTTATTAACTAGTGGTAGAAGTCCTGAAGCATCTGATGGAAAACATTTGATTAAAGTTTTAATTGAAACCATGAAGGATCGTCTAATTATAATGCCTGGAGCTGGTATTCAAGTTGACAATCTTAAAGATATCCTGGTCACTACATTAGCACGTGAATTTCATGGATCAGCAAAGGTCTTGAAAAAATATACAAATAGTAATGATCCAAAATTGCAATCAGCTTATAAAAAAACCCCTATTTATGTTACCGACCAAGATATTGTAAAAAAATTACTTAGAATTTATAAAAATTATTTAAAACTAGAATATAAAATAAGGTATACCTAACTAAAAAATATGTCATATAGTTGTGTATCTACTTACAAATATATACCATGTACATATAAGCTTTTAAGTTTGAAGTATACTCTATTCAGAATAAGACCATGACTGGGCGGCCGAGTTGTGCTCATGGGAGTGGCTTTGTTCCGTGGCAGCGCCCGACATGCCATCGTAGTGGGGATGGCGTTTGACCATCGCGGAACGAAAACTTATCGCCGGCGGGTCGTGGTCTTATTCTGAATAGAGTATAGTTAACTAAGTATAAATATTTATTTTTTTACGGTTGTTACTGTTGTATTGCTGAACAATAACAATAAAATACAATATCATGAATCAAAAACATAATTCTTCTATTTCTTATTTTGGTTTGCTTAACTATAATAGAGTTCATTTAAAAGTATTTCAATGCTTAAAAGTGATTGATCATTATATTATATTGGCTTTTGAAGAAAAACTGGTTACACAATTTAATGAAAACAACATTTTGGAGATAATGACATTCAGTTTTTTAAAATAGTACAAAGAAAAAAAAGTTACAACCATTTAAAAAATGAAATAAGACATTTTTGAAAACCTTAAATAAAATTGTAAAATAAATATCACTTTAAACAGACATGTCATCTTCTGCAAGATGTTATTTACCCTCAATTTTATTATTTTTAGTATTTTAGAGCTACAAGGACACTAGAATTATCTATGGTTGATCTGAATCAAAATTTTTATATGACTACTTTTTTATCATCACGGAATGTAAATTGCTGAAGCAAGACCAACTGTTCATGTTAAATATACAGTATGATTGTCAACAAGAAAATAATCATATTAAAATAAGTATAATACCTATATTCATATTATCTTCATCTCACAGTCTGCACATTAAAATACTTGTACATACTTAAATTTTAGTAGTATATTATTTTCTGAGGTAATATATATAGCTATGAGCTTTATTTCTTAACATTTTGAGAGGAGCGATGATTGTATTGATTTTACAAAGAGTGTGTACACGATAAGAAGTCATCAAGCTAATAAGTGCTCATTTCAAAAAATTTATTTTTCTTGCCAGTTGCTACAATTTTATATTATACTTTCCAAGTTAATAGCATTAGTTTGTTGTCTTTCAATATTAAGTAAAGCTATTTTAAAGTCTTCATAATAATTATTATAAAAAAAAAATGGTTTTATTTTCTTTCTTTCTACATATTTTTAAATTTGTATTTTGTATCATTGGGCCTTCACTACAATATGCTAGGGCCTTGGGCCCAGGTGTTTGACTCAAGCAACACACCTGGTTATTGCAGCACTGCTACTGTATTACTAATGCCTAATAGTTAAATAAATTACTTCAATCACAATAATATCTCTTCTCAGAATTGTTTTTGTACAAAATGATTTTTATCATTGAATTCAAATTTAAAGGGATCAAAGCACGCATATTTTTCAAACGTATTAGACCAATAAGCTGTGGTAAATTACACAAACTCGGGAATGTCTTATTTTAATTTTTGAATGGATGAATTCTTTGACAAAATATCAAAGTTTAATTTAGTTTTAAATTTTATAGGACTTAAAATTAAGATATTTTTTTCAAAAATCCCATGAAATAATTGCTTAACATTTGTATTTATTTTGGGCACAACTGGATTTAAATCAAAAAAGCGATTCTAAAGAGTATTATGTGGTCCAGAAGCTTTATAATTCAATGATTTTCTTGAAATTACAAACAGACTACAGGAGCTATGTTTAATTTACTACTATTGGTTTGAGAGTAGTTTTTATAGTTATGCAAACAAGAATATATTTCATTTTTAGCGATGTATCGCGTGAGCATATGATAGTTGCATCCTGCAGCAGTTGCTCTTTAGAGTACGGTTCAATGGGTTTCCCTCTCCAAGGAGGTATGACAGATATAAGAACAGTCATATCTGGAAACACACATTGATGTTCATTTATTCCTCACACATAGACAAACCAAGATGTATATTGTCTAAACATTACTCTTTAAAACATGATACGCAAACATTGGCAGCTCCAAGGGGACCATAGAGGCTGCAGCATCCTTTCAAACCACCTGTATTTCTAAAAAAATGTTTATTTGTTAAAAAGAAAATTACCAAAAAAAAAAAAACAATAAAATGTGGAATGTTTTCTGAAAATTATTACTTAGGCCCCCCCCCCCATCCATGTCTTCAGAGCCGCCACTGTATGCTGGGGCCCCCTTAAGTTGTAACGCATCCATTACAGTGAATTATCTCGACACTTGATGTACAGCAGATGGTTACCCAAATGCCTGCTTTTTATAAGCATTCAAAGTTCATTAAATGTATGAACCATTACATTTTTATAACTATGCAGCTATAGATAAACAATTTAAAAAAAGGCTTCTCATAAGTAGTTCATACTGCAACCAAAAAAATATATAACTATATATACTCACAGTTTTATTTTTATAGATATTTTAAGTTTAAATTTCGACATTTTATAATTAAACAAAGAGTACTAATTTTAGGCATTTTGTTATAATATTTAAGATTACTATCAGTGGGCACTTGGCACTTTTAACATACCTATATCATCATATTTTAAAAGCAGGCAAAGACTGAGCAATTTTTTGGCAAAAACGTATTCAACCTACTGCAGTATTAGTGCATTACTAACGTCTAATAGTACCTAAAATAAAATACTTTAATAGGTAGTAATAATCTCATTAAATAAACCTAGGCGGACCGGCTGTCTTGTACTCTAGACCACGTCTCTTGTCACTGTCGTCATCAGAACGATCGACGGCGGTTTTAGCTTCTCCTAAACCGTCAACGGTTAACCATCACTCTGTACAATGCACATTATATGTGTCTAGTCAAGAGGCTCCTACAATGTCGGTGATCGGCCTCACAGACAACACCGTCGCAATAGACACTATCGGAAATGAATTACCACACTAATGAAGTTGCACGTTTGGGGATGAACGGCAACGCAAGTATGCACATTGATTTGACAACAAATAAACATTACAGGTATTGACTGGCGGAGACGTCTCTTACAAACAAAAAATAAAATCGATACACAATAATACACGAAACAAAAAAATTATCAAACAATATCAGCACAAATGACAATAATTGATAACAGAATAATGACAGTGACAATATTATTATTTACGAACGACGACGACGACGGCCGTCTGGTTCCGGTGGCGAATTGACGACTCGGTTTTGCGGTTAGGCGGGGGAATAGTGACGGCGACAGTATGCCCACTGACGTTCTCCCGTACGATTCGACACTCACGGGCGAACACTTACCGTAGGGCCAAAGGCCAATAACTGTCGCACAATCATCGCCGTAGTTACGGTGTAAGATTACTGGGCGAGTACGAGCGGCACACGCCGAGCACACACTTTGTTCGTACGACCGGTCGACCGACCGGGGTATCGGTAACGTCGCGATACTGGCGATGGAGGTCATGGAGGCAGTGGCGGCTCGTGCCTAGGTGCGCACACCACGTAGATCGATGTCGATGAAAAAGTGAAACGGTAAAATAATAGTGTATAATATTTAATTAGTTTCAATAATATATCTGTTAAACTGTATATCTATATTATTGAATAAAATTGTAAGGGGTTTTCTACGACCGCGCTAGCGGAGAAAACTACTGAACCGATTTGGCTGAAAATTATCAATTAAAATCAACATGTAAATTGTATACCTACACCTTTTTTAGTAAGAAACAGTCGCCGGTTGAAAATAAATGACAATCACACTCGACAACCACAGATGTTTCTAGACAGATCGGTATCGGCGTGGAATAATAAACAATTATTATAATTATTAAGGTTAGCAAAAAAAAAAACAAACAATTAATTTCATCTGAGTATCTATTATTACTTATTAGTTTTTATAATCAATGGTGTTACATTAGTTATTGGTAAAAAATACCTAATAATTAATCGAATTTTCACAAATTGCTTGCCATTTATCGGCATATCCACAGTCAAAATAAAAAATATCATTTATATAGAGTATTTAACGTAGTTCGAGAGGATCAGCTAGTTTTATTACATAAAAAAAAAAAATTTAAGGAAACAAAAACACGGAGATCATTATTATACTCCTAAAATTTAATTGAGTTATGTAACAAATATACATCACTTGGTGTGCTGCTCCGTTTTAACTAGAGATGGAGAATTTACGTTAAAAAAATATCGGTGAATTTACAGGTAAATTTAAATAATTAATACATTTTATGAAATACGAATATTTAATTATTGATACTACAATTAATAAAAAATTTAAATTTAACTAAACTATCAAAATTCACATAGCCTTTATTTCTGTTTAAGTCAAAGCATTTATATGTAGACTTAACTTTGGTATTAATAACAGTATATTATCAATATCACAAAATCTGCCTTTTTGGTATAATATGCCTATAAAATGTTTCCTAATTACCTAGGTACTGATATTTAATGTTCCAACTCCTAATTTAGTAATATAATATAGTAGGGGTGACAGAATATTGATACTATAACAAACTATAGATACAATAACAAGTACATCATCAATATTAAAAATGATAATAACACAGTAAGTTACTTTTTCGGTTTACCTACTTTGGTCCAACCTGTTTATTATAATAAAAAACAAAACAAATTATAATTATTTTAAAACTTAATAAAACAAATATTCAGTCTAGGCGTTTTTGATTTCATTTGTTTAGAGGGGCCACACAACATATTTTTTTTGGTAAAAAAAATTTGTAAAATTTACGGTAAAAATTTACCTGATAAATTTACAACACTTACATCTTTAGTCTGAACACCGTCTGTCCGCGTAAAATACGTTTGGAAAACGTAATGCGAAAAATTCACTATAATTTAAATACCCAAGTTCATTAAATAAAAAATAAGTATTAAACTTTCACAATATTTTGTTGCTGTTTAACTATTATAAAATGTAAGTATTTCTACATGCATGTGGTTGTGTATTGTATTTTATACACATCTTCGGACGGAACAATGAATGTAAGTGATGTAACCCATTGTTAATGTAACTCATTGATTTTATTATGATATGTGTTTAAAAAAAAATTCTGTGTACGTCATCAGCTCTCGGGACGATAAAAATGATTCGATTTTTGACTTTGAACGTGATTCTCACGGCCGCGAATAATCGCCCATCATATTATATCATTTTGTATTACTAGTGCCAGGCGCGGATCGCCGATCATTTATATTTATTATTATAATATTGTAATTTTTGCGCAAATCGCCGTTGTTTTTGTAATATATATCTTATTGTGTGCATTAATCGCCACTATTTTTATCATTATGTATCGCGTTCGTCAGTGATTATTTATTGTAGGTATAGGTAGTGGCTGGCCAGCAGAGCACCGACGTATACTGTGAGTTTTATTTATTATTTGTTATATTTATTATATTTATATACGTGAGTTGTTGGGCCAGAAGGAATGATGTTATATCATATTATTATTTTGTTGGGCCAGAAGGGCCATAATATTACGATTTACCCTGTTTAGCCACAGGGGCCTGTCATTTATTATATTTTGTTTTATCAACTGTTATTCAAACTTACATTGTGCAGCAACTCAAAGTTACCAGAAACTGTGTTATCATTGTTTTAGTTTTAAGCCTACACACGCACATATATACATTATACATACACACCCACACAACCACCACACACTAGCGATTTCAAGTTTTGCTCTGCGATCCCGTCTACCTTTCTTGAGTTGTTATTCATATATAAACACATTTCACAGGTCGGTCGGTGTGCGAGTGTATTCGCACGAAGCAAATCGGTGACCGGACAAACTGGCTATTACTGTTCCGTTCCCGGCGCGTATACCATTATTGTGACATTAAGTATTTAAAACAAGTACTGCTACCACTTTGCAACAAAACGAATAAAAGTTTTATTTCATGGATTATAGAATCCTTTCGTTCACATATTAATATTATGATGAAATAATTATATTAAGGCTGTACTCAACGCCCAGGACAAACACATTCACGAAAGATACAAGGTAATATATAGTTTATTTAAAATGAATATTTTTTTTCCATAATAATTATTTAACTTAAAATTGACAAACAATGATAATTAATTATTATATTTGGTGGGCCACTATAAAAAATCTGAAAAAATAACTGATTGAAAATTTAAATTAGTTTATATTTAATACATATATTATTATAAATTTATTAAACCTTGTTGTTAATAATTATTGAACAATTCAATACGGTTATAAAACGGTAAAGAATAATAAATTTCGATACTCCTTTTCTGTCCCTGAAATCCATTTTTCACTTTCATCTAAAAAAAAATTAAATATTTAACTACCCATGATCCTTTATATTATTATTAAACCATGTTAAAATTGTTAATTTATAGGCAAGGGCTTATTAATAAAAATGACAACATTTAACATATTTTTTTTTAATGAATACATCTTTCAAATTTTAAATAACTTTTTTAAAATTTGTCGAATTTTGTTGAAAATTTTTTGAAAATTATCTTAAATCAATCTTATTAATATAATATGCAGTATATAAACTTTCAACAACTGTGATAAATTTTTAGTAGGACAATTAATAGTTATTTTCCGAATATTCACAATTGAATAGGTACGTACGTAATAGTTATTGGCCGACTAAATTGTGTGGTAATAGTTAGGTAAGTACTGTAGCGATCCCGCTTACAGATGCCGAGTACAAGATGATAGACAAGGTGTAAATAATTCAAGCCAATGCGTTTAACTGTCGAGCATGAGTTTATTGTCATCTCAAAACGGTTTGAATAATTTCTGATGTAGTTTGAACTTTCAGAGAGTCTGCTGGTGCGAAGGTGGTCGTACTCATTTTGATAGTTCACGTTTGAATAACGGTTGCCTGGGTTAATACTATATAGCCCTTATCTATACTACTCCTCTTCTATCAAAAAGATTAGGTTGACTCCATTTACTATCATAGCCTTGCGTACAAGGTCCAGGAATTGCCATCGACCCACATAAGCTATACACTTTGAGAGTATCATCGAATTGCGTTATCCAGTGTTATTTTGTTATCGACGTTACAATGCGCAGTTTCTACAATTATAATATAGTATATCTAATATTCCCTATCATCGTTAAAACACTAGAGTAATTCTGAGAGTATTTTTATTATTGTTTAAGGACTCGCATTTTCTACTCCCGCGTTTTTAGCTACTCGATTTCTCTTGTCCTATTCCCACAACTTACTAAATACACTGATCTCCTTAATGAGCAGCAAAAAAATCTCAACATGCACAAGAAGATCCAATCTACTTAACCGCAAGGCTACTCTCAGGGCGCTCCGACTTCCGAGGACCGACCATCCTTGACAGTTGATGTTGTTTAAGGTCTGAATGATCTTAACAAAATACTAGATACATACGTGGTAAAAGTTGTCAAACTTTGCAAGAGAAGAAGTCGTTGGTGGCGTACCTAAACCCAAGCACAAACGAGGTAGAAGTAAATAATGCCAAGGCGTGAACGACAGTTGTCGGTTAGAAAGCAACGTCAAAAGCCTCAACATCTTTTTCCGGCGTGAAATCACAAACCTGTAACTATTTCGGTCGCGTGCGTACGTTTTATATCTATACTTGAAGATGTCAGTTCTGAAGACTTTCCAATGCCGGTGAAGAAGATTCATTGAGGCGTTGACCTTGGTATGATCTTCAATCATGTAGTAGGAATGAGACAGGTCAAGTTCGGTGCATTCCGAAATCATATCGGAACTCTTCCCAATCCATGCTGCAGTGGAAAGGGTTTAAGGTCAGGTAACGACACCTGCACCTCCAGTAACACTCCAGGAGCTAGAGACAGCAAGCCGAAGACTATATACAGGTAAGGCGACTGGGCCAGATGGCGTTCCAAACGAAGAGTTGAAGGTCGCAGTAAGGACGCATCCAGCAATGTTCCAGTTGGTGTACGATCGGTGTGTGAAGGTCGGCGTTTTCCCGAAGACATGGAAACGAGCTATGTTGGTCCTCATGAAAAGGGTGATCAGCAGATCAACCTTCGAGTTATTACCCGCTCTGCATGCTGGACAAAACGAGGAAGTTATTCGAACGCATACCGTATAACCGCATCGAGGAAGCCTTTGCCTGGGTACGAACTGGGCTAGCTGGTAACCAATACGGGTTCAGGAAAGGACGGTCGACTATCGATGCAATCAACAGGGTCATGGCAGAGGTATCTGACACTGGAGATAACATGATATACGACCGACAGCTCTGTGTACTCATCACGCTGGACGTGGTCAACGCCTTCAACTCGGCATCATGAGAGGCCATAGTAAGATCCATCACCAAAAATAATGTAACAGGCTACTTCACAAATGTCGGGTGGAACTATCTTTGTGACAGGGAGATAGTTCACGGTGAAAGCCAGGAGATAGTTAATCTCACCAGCGGAGTACCACAAGGATCCGTGCTCAGTCCCCACTCCCCTGCTATAGAGAATTATGTATGAAGGTTTGCTCACCGAGAAGATGCCAGAAGGGGTAACCGTGGTGGGCTTTGCTGACGACGTGGCCATCGTGGGAAGGTCATGGAAGGTCGATCATCTCGAGGATATAGTAAACGAGTCCCTCGGTGTGGTACACAAATGGATGAGTGACCACCAAACTAGCCACCCACGAAACCGAAGCCGTCATGCTAACCCGGAAAAGTAAGTACCCAAAGCCAACATTCGAGGTAGGAGGGAACCAAATAACGACAAAGAACTCGCTCAAGTACCTAGGGGAAGAAATCGACTCTGGAAGGCGGTTCAAGGTGCACGAGCAGGCATACGGACAGAAGGCAACCAGAACGGCACAGGCACTGTCGAGGATCCTATCCAACATCGATGGGTCGTCTACAGCGAAGAGAAAGCTCCTCGCTAGCGTTGCCCACAGTCAGCTGCTATACGCTGCGCCAGTATAGGAACCACTACTATACCACAGGCCGGACAGTGTCGTTCTGATAAAAGAGGACAAGGCCAAGCTAATGGTTCTAAGGGTCATGAGGGCATACAGAACTGTATCCTTTGAGGCAGTGACGTTAATAGCTGCCAGTACCCGGATTACGCTACTAGCGAAAGAACGTACCGCAGTCCAAAACACGACAGACAAGTTACAAGCACTCCAAGACGTGCGAAGAGAAATGATGTTAGCATGGTAACAGAACTGGGACGATGTAGTGAAGAGTCGCTGGACACATGCTTTAGTTAGGGATGTAGGAAAAAGGTTCAACCGAAAATATGGCGACACCGGTTACTACTAAAACAACAAAGGTAATAAACGAGACTGCATGTAAAAATAGTGAATTATTGCCGGTTATACGTCTTTTCGGCATCTTTCCGGTACAGTATTACCAACCAATATATTGTATTATTGTAAGTCACCAATGGAAACCCCACACAAAAAGATATATTTATTCTATATTAAAAGAACGTAACACTAGCATTGTTCGTCTCCGTCTTTTAAGTGAATAACATCGAAATTACGAAAGCACATTTTCAATGTTACGCACTTGTAAGATATATATGAAAATTCCCAGTATTACCTTCTCTTAATATTTAAGGCTTAAACTACTAATCAACTATTTTTAGGGGTTGTAGGCGTGTAATAAGCTATGAACACAATCCAAGTATCAAGGCATTTATTGATATTACTTTTATTGAAACGATGAAGTCGTTCAAATGTTACACTATCATTAACATCGACAACTGTATACACTGAAGAATTATATACAATTATATAAATATTAAAATATCGTTTTCTTAAGGTTGTACCTACTACTGTACTCTGAGTTTATCGCTAACAATACCATACATGGTAAAATATAAAATATAAATTTACTGTTATACATTTTAAATAATTTGGTTTTTAAAAAATCTGATAAAAATAACTCATTTGAATAGAGGTTGAAAATTGAAATTCGTTTATCTTTTAATACATGTTAAAAATGTCTTTAATATTATTGTTGATAAATGGATCATTTCAAAGCAGACATGGCTTGATCTGCCACATTCTTATATTCGTTTTGGCCATGCAGACTTCCACCTATATATAAAAAAATAATGTGTGTGTATAATTAGTATGAGTAGTGGGAGTAATACTTCTCACGCAGTTTTGTCAAGAAAAATAAGGACATTTTCAGTTTTTAGAAAAACCATAGATAATCATAATTAAAGCAAAGATAGGACATCACCAATTGTGGCGACGACTATCGGACTATATTTTCGGGGGTCGTAAACTGATTACAAATCGAGCTGTTAAGCACACTGTTAAAGATATATAGAACAGGTTGTGCATCGCCGTACAGTAAACAGCTTTCAAATTTGCTTACAAACATTTGAAACAGCTGTAAAAAATAACCACTAACACTTTTAATCAGAAATCAACAATATGTGTCAGCATTTAAGACTAATTGCATACTTAAATATCTATAATCTGTTTATTGTGGTATTGCCGCTTTAAACGCTACTAGTTATTTTTTCCTAGTCAGTTCATGGCCATCTTATCAGAAGCTGATGGGCAATCACTAACCTTTAATTATGTTTTCATGTGCAGTTTGTGAGACAAAGTTTCTTTTCATTTTAGGTTTTAACAAGCATTTCAGAACTAAACATAAGGACAACAGAAAAAACTAAGGTTATTAAACGTAACTTGTACAGGTGTAATGATTGTAATAAAAATTTTGACTAGAGGAAGACTTTTATTCAATATCTCAAAACTCATTTGATGAAAAATGTACAACGTCATTCATTATGTTCATTGTGTTCAAAATCATTTCCGCCAATGACTGTATTAATTGATCATTTACACTTTACAGAGTATACATAATGTAAATATTGAGTCGAAAGTGTTACATTTTAATAATATAGAAGGTACCTAAACTAATTTATTACTACATTGTTAGTGCTGTACTATATTATATACAAGTCCATAACACGTTCCTTGTAATTTTGTTATTTGAGTATAATATTGTTTACTTGTGCCTAGGATAATGATATATTTACTTGGAGAAATATTGTGTTTTTTTATGGTGTTCATGTTCAATTTTTTCTTCACTGAGGTTTTTATTGTAATGAATACAAAACAATTATGTATTTTTAATTTTGGTCATATAATATGGTTTTTTTAATTGTCCATTGGAGAACGTTTACGTTTTTCCTAAAAGCGCTCCATCTAGGGATATACAATGTGTTAAACTGATATGACATGTGGTTAAAAGTTACATACGAGCATAAATTAGGTGACATACACTCGTACGACAGTATTACTGTTGTTAGAAGTACGTTTTGGATTGTTTTTTTTTGGAGATTTAGTTTGCCGATCATCAAAAATACATTGTATTATAAGCCAATGTTCAACCAGTGTGTCTTAAATCGTGGAAACCAGTATATCTTTAATATTTATGAAGTATTTGTGTGTATTATATTCATTGATAATCGAAACTCGTTATAAGTATACACTTATTTAGTCAGAATTAGTATCATTGGTCGTTGAGTGATAAGAGTTTAAGTCCTCTCTATGTTGTAATTATCTACGAGAAATATTTAATATTATTTTTATTATTATTATCATATAGTATGTGTACGATAATTATTGTATGGTTGGTAATACTGTAACGTACATTAGTAAGGCCAAAGCACGACGCAGAGAAGATATCTTTTTTACATCGTTAGCAAAACGATATCGAACCCCGAACGCAACACACAAACGTAATACCCGACCATTACATTATTTTTGTCTAGGTAACTGTGAAAAGAAGTTTCACTTCACGATTAAATTTGTTTTAATTTCAAGGTCATAAGCAGGGCACGTAAGTTCATGCACTAAAAAAACACAAATAAGCATACATTCATGCACTAAAAAGTTTGAAAATATGCATTTAAATTAACTTACATTTTTAAATTATGCACTCGAAATATGCATTATGTAAATTATTTATGAGCAAATTTTAAAATAATAAAAATATATCCATTAATTTTAAAAGTATTTTATTCCTTTAAATTTTTATATATTTAACAATCAAAATTAATAAAATGAATACTTGTGAAGTTCATATAATCATATGGATTTGTCATCTTTATTAATTTTGACTAGGTAGTCATTTTTTGTCTAATTTTTGTACACCATTATCCTGTGCCTAAAATGAAAATATTTGGAATGAAATATTAGTTATTTGACATTTTCACGGCTCGTACAGTAAAACAACTCATCGGCGACTGGCGTGTGCAAGAAAACTATACTGTACCAGTGTGCAAAATTGTAGATGAGGAATGGTAAGAAACATTGTACAGGTACTGTTTCGACGAGAGACTATAGTCGGCGGAGGATGGTAGTGGTAGCTATAAAATTGTTTCCGCGTTATAAGTAAAACTCATAAAATCTAAATAGGGAAATACTAGAAATAAATCAAAACACTATCATTCAGTAAACGGTAAAGTAAATAAGAAACAAGAAACATTTCAAATATTTTTCTAAACAATTTTTTTAAGAAATAATATGGGCTATAAACTCCAAAAAAACGATTATATGCCAAATATGCCGTTACACCCAAAACATGCAAAAACATGCACTATTAAACTTCATATTATTATTACTATTGTTATGAAACCGATTTGTGTCTCATTTATCATATTTTTCTGTGTAGCAAAAAAAACATACAAATGCATGAACTTACGAGCCCTAGTCATAAGTATAAAACACAAAAATATTATTTTAAATTTCAAGAACGTTCAATTCTAAGAAAATAGGTACAAACATATATTCTCTATACACAATGTTGAACAAGCTATAGGGAATAAATTTAAAAAAACACACCCAGCATCATTCGGCTCGGCACGTTGTAATTGCCTATCAGTTCACAAGTGTAAAAGTGGCTCTCATCAAACAATAATTTACTTCCCTTTTAAAGGATATTTTTGAATTATTGCTATGCGCATGTGATGTGCTTTTACGCACTCAAGACTTTGGTGAACTAGATTTTTTTTTAATTGTTCAGTTTTTTTGAAATATTTAAAATCTTACAAAATACATTTTTATTAAGTTCTTCTTTTTGCAATTTTTTTCTTGTGACTGATGTAGTCATTATGTATCACTACATGACATGGACCCAGCCGGGACTTATGCATTTTAGTTATATAATATTTAATATTAAAATAGCTAAACGTTATATTTGTAATTCTAATACTTATATTGTCTTTACCACAAAAGTCACACATTTATTTTACATAAATCAAAAAAAAAAAAAAATGTTAAGGGTTATAAGTAATTGTGTAAATTGAGCAACTTTTGCTCGTATAATATGGAGAATTATATACCGAGCTCAGACTGTCACGTCACCTAGCTAATTCTGTGTACTATAAAATCTCCTTGAATATTTTTTTTTTGACTAAATTGTTTTTAATAATTCTGATAACAATGATTTAAAAATTAATAATAACTTAAACCAAATATTTTTGTGTATCATGTACACCTTTAATAAGTAACTGCAACATTTTACATCCAAATGGAGAGAAATTGCCGAATTGCTCTCTATTAAGGCCGAAAGTTATATCAATTTATTGAAAATTATTGTAAAACTAACATAACATACAATACTGTCCAATAACTAATTATTAATTAGATATGTTCAATTTTTAGTAGGATAATTATCTCCCAAACAATTATAATTGAATAGGTAACAGTTTCTGGCCAACTGTTCAGTGTCAGTAATACTATAAAAAAAATAATGCTGAAGCGTATTTTAAAGGTGTAAGTCATTGTCCGCTAAATGTCTTCTTATTAAATTGTATATGTTTATATAATTTATTTCAATATTATCAGAATGTCTACTTAAAATCAGACGAAATTTAAATATAAATATGTTTTATCACTTATCATGATGGTCGTTAGTGTGATTTCGATGTAAGGGATGCATAATATATGATAAATTTTTATTATTCCACAACTACTTTAAACATAGAAATATGCTAAATTACCTAGAGTTACTAATTTACCTGTTTTACCGGAGCTTGTGGGCTTCTGGCCTAAAAAAAATGCGTTACAATTATGGATAAATTTGTTGTACCTACTAAAATATTAAACACTCGTAATCTGTGGCTTTTGCGCCAAACATTGGTCATACAGTTTGCATTGTTTTGTATAAATAAACGGTAGTACTAGTGGCGTCATGGGAGTACAGCAAAAGCATTACCCCTTTGTAACTGGTTCAAAAAGAAAATAGGTTTCTGGTGTGTTGTAGTAGTGAGTAGCTCGATTATCAGTGGTCGGGACAGCCGTGCTGCCATCCATAGATGTATTTTTTATTTAAACATTTTTTTTTAATATTTGGCGATAAGAAATAGGTTTCGTCAAAAATGTTGAAAATTGTATACACGACTTCTTTAAAGCTTTATTACAAATATTTCAAAATTTAAGGGATGTATTTTAAGCATTGTTTAAAAAAAATCATCCTAAAGCTTCGTATTTGACAAAATTCGTTATAATCACCAATATTTGCAAATTATTTTTTGGTTTAAAAAATGATACGTAGTATTCTCTAAACTTTTTTTATCACTATATTTATGAATAGTAATATATTCATATTATGACAAAAGACTGAGTTTTCTGTTTCAAAAAAAAAAAATGTCATATCAATTTAATGCTTGAATAGATATTTTTTCATTGACTACGTGAAGTGGTCTTCAAAAAATAGTAGCTTTCACCGTTGTTTGGAAAAATATAGTGTATGCTCGTTTTAAAGTGCTAGTAGAAATCAGGTCTGCTCTTGAAGAAAGCCCATAACCTAGTTTTCTTTCATAAAATGTCTCTGTTGATTGATTCCATTTGTAATAATAAGTGAATCCATGAAACAGTAACGTTTTTGGTAATTCGCGACTTGACTAAAAACACTTAGTTATATAATAAACGATTATTACGATCGCACGACAACACGTCTTGTCGACACTCATTAGAAATGAATATCAAGAGATTATTGATTAAGGCATAACAAATATTATTGGTACTTATGTTGTATTTATATCCAAAATTATTTACCTGCT